GCATCACAGCTCACAGCAACCTCCAATTCCTGGGCTCAAACATGTCTCCTGCCTCCACCTCCCAAGTAGCTGGGACTACAGGCGCCCGCCACAACGCCCGGCTATTTTTGGTTGCAGCCATCATTGTTTTGGTGGGCCTGGGCTGGATTCGAACCCGCCACCTTAGGTGTATGTGGCTGGCGCCTTAGCCGCCTGAGCTACAGGCGCTGAGCCACCTCTGAGGTTCTTTACAGATGCTGACATTTTGAGGCTAGATCATCTACCGTTGGGAAGGTCCCCGTTTCATTCTTGTCTCTGGAAAGCCTATGGCAATTTTTGAATATGCCTTAGCCCCTTCTGCAGAGATGGCCTGGAAGAGTATCAACTGTAGTCTTGCCTGAAAAGGGAAGAGGCCCTTTGCCTTTAACAGGAAGCCACAGACCAACTAGAAAATGGAGCCATCTTCTCTAGAAACTACAATTCCCAGCAGCCATCTCGCGGAGCATGTGCGGGAGCTTGCTGGCCAGTCAGTCTAACCCGCTAGCCCTCCAGTTCCCGACATGCTCCAGCGGTGTCTTTCTCAATTTCCTGCCTCGGCCAAATTTCCTGATTCCAGCTTATTTCGGATCGGTGGACCACAACTCCCAGTATGCTGAGAGACTAGCTTCATAGTTTAGCTTCCGCTTTTTGAATAGACTACATTTCCCAGAAAGTCAACGGGCGGGGCTGGTGCCACGCGTGGAGGTGCCAAGCAGCGATACCGCGGTGCAGCGGAAGGTGGAGGTGAGGGTCATGCGTCCGCTGGGTGTTACATTTGCGGAGTTGGTCCAGGAGGGAGGTTCGAGAAGGGCCCGTCCTTTTCTCTGGTTGTGGCTCTGTCTCCTCCCTGGGTTCCTCTGCCCCGAAAACTTGGATCGGGTGGGTGCTGAACACTGATGGGGTCTGGCGGTATCCGCGATCGGGGTTCGCACCTGGGATGAGGCTGGTGGGGAAAGATTCGAACTCGCTACATTGCACGGCACCTCCAGAACATACACTGAAAGCCTTACTGCAAAAGGGGACCAGCCTTCAGATTCAGGAGGGAAAGAAAATGAAGATCTGTGGGGCGGAGCGCAGTGGCTCACTCACGCCTGTAATCCCAGCACTTGAGAGGCCAAGGCTGGTGGA